ATTAGATACCCGACGGGAGAAGTTGTTCCGGTTCTTTTTAGAGTCATTGTTCAAGTTAAATTAGGGGAGTTTTCTTTAGACGTTCCGATGCTAGTTGCAGATATTTCTGATGATTGTATATTGGGAACTGATTTCCTTCTAATGCTGAATTTGGAAAAAATTTTCGATCCTTTTTTTGGTAATCCAGAAAAGGCCCTTGAGTTGCCCTGTAAACGAATAATTTCAGAAGTCCCGTGTTCTTTGAAAATTTTATTTGAAGAAAATTCTAAAGACTTAAATTCTTACCAAAAGGATCTTTTTGCTGAATTCCTGAGGGAATTCCAAGATATATTTTCGGAAGATTTAACTTCGGGAAATTGTGAAATTTTTGAACATGTTATTAAATTAAAAGATTCTAATCTCATCAAACAGGCTCCTCGCAGGATCCCTTTACATCTTAAAAAGGAGGTGAATCGAATAATTCGGGAAATGAAATCTCAGGATGTCATTGAGTCGCAAAGCCCATGGACTCTCCTGTAGTCCTTGTAAAGAAAAAGGATGGATCATTGAGATTTTATGTGGATTTTCGGAAGTTTGTAACGGAGCACCTTTCTCGACGCCGCGGATCGGCTCGCCGGAGTCAGGGTTCGGGAGAAGGGGAGGCTCAGGCTCGCAAAATACCACACAGTTCTGGGCGAAAATATGTTTATTTAAAATAAAAGAAACAGATAGATGAGAATTTCGGGCGGTAAACCCGTACGTATGCTACGCTTATTACTTACAGGAAGTCGCGACGGAGTTGCAGATGCGGCTTCAATTATACTAAATCTAATAACTATCGGGTATGATCTATAATACTAATCGAGATATTTACAAAGCTTATCCTACAAACGCGCGGACGGTTCTTTCGGACGCGGACCGCGGAGAAACCAGGGGGGTCGCGTGCGGCGTGGCACGGACGCGGGCCTAGCAGGGTCTGCCAACCGAGGTCGGCTGAGGACAGGAGAATCCGTCCTCCGGGTGACGTACACGGGTGCCCCGTGGTACATCGGGATACTGGACGTCGGTAGCAACCGACCGGGCCCGGTAGCAACCGGGCTCTAGACCAGGGGAATTTAATGGGACCCTCCAGAAGCGATGTCGCGACGCGAAAGTCCTAATGGGTGGTCGCGTGCCGGATGGCACGGACACGGGCCTAGCAGGGTCTGCCAACCGAGGTCGGCTGAGGACGGGAGAACCCGTCCTCCGGGTGACGTACACGGGTGCCCCGTGGTACGTCGGGATACTGGACGTCGGTAGCAACCGACCGGGCCCGGTAGCAACCGGGCTCTAGACCAGGGGAATTAAACAGGGCCCCCCAGAATAAACACGCGGACGGTGGACGAGCGGTTTGACGGGCGGCCGTGACGAACGGTCGGTTGAGGATCTGGTAAGAGGAAAAAAGAAAGAAAGACCAGTTTATTTCGCGACAGTATTATTCCGCGGAGGGCCGTGAGATATGCCGAACGGGAGGGGCGGTCGATGTCCAGGAGGCGTGGGTACGGTTGTCCTCTGGGAGCTGCGGTGGTCCCCTCAGGTACCGTGGATCCGGCTGTCCTCCAGGAGTTACGGCAGCGGTCGTTCCTCAGGTGCGGTGCTCGTCCACGTAGCCGGGGAGCGGGAGGGCCGCAAGAGGGGCCCGTTGTTACCGGAGCCGTGAAAACGGCTAGTCGTTCCAAGAGCCGTGAAAACGGCTGTTCGAATGCCAGGATGCGAGCCGGACAATTCCAGACGTCGGTTGCAACCGACCGAATACGGGAGCCCCGTACCCTGGACTGGATCGTTCGTGGCTCGACGGAGGGCTTCTGGATGTCGGATGCAGCCGACCGGGCACGGCTCAGGCCGTGCTCTGGACCAGAAGCAAGGATGGAAGAGGAGCTCGGTAGGCTTCGATTGCCCAGGGTGCGCCCTGTGGCTTCTAGCGTCCCGAGAGTCGGGACAGGAATAGGTCCCGGTCTGCCGGAGCGGCCGCCTTATATACCCGGCTAGCTACCCCCCACTCGATATCCCCACGTGGTCATGCGCGTAGTAGTGGGGTAGGACGCGACTCTCAGTCCGCGGCTCCCAATTTCGCGGCTCGGTCGAGGTGCTCAATTGGCGGCGCTTGGCGCCAAAATGGCGCCGCGCTGTTTTGGTGCGCTAGTAACGGCCTAGCCGTTACAAGTTGAATGCTGTGACCATCAAAGATTCCTATCCCTTTCCACGTATTGAGGATATTTTGGATCAGTTGTCTGGAAATTCTTGGTTTTCGACCCTAGACCTGAAAAGTGGATATTGGCAGGTAAAAGTTCATCCTTTGGATAGGGAAAAGACAGCGTTTTCCATAGGAAATGGATTATGGCAATTCAAGGTAATGCCTTTCGGTTTATGTAATGCTCCAGCAACCTTTGAGCGTTTAATGGAAAAAGTGTTGCAGAACATCCTGTTTAAAATTTGTTTAGTCTATCTGGACGATATTATTGTTTTCAGTAAGACTTTTGAAGAGATGCTATCAAATCTAAGGAGGTTTTTCTTTGCTTTCGTTCAGCGGGTCTGAGAATCAATTCTAAAAAGTGTTCCCTCTTTGGTAGGAAAGTGAAGTATTTGGGACATGTTGTTTCTGGACAAGGTGTTGCTACGGACCCCGAGAAAATTTTGGCGGTAGAAAATTGGCCTATTCCTCAGAATAAAAAGCAAGTCCGTAGTTTTCTGGGATTTTGTTCCTACTATAGGAAATTCGTAAAAGGTTTTTCTTTGATAGCAAAATCCCTGTTTTTGCTTACTGAAAATCAGTATAAATTTGAATGGACCCAGGCGTGTCAGGAAGCGTTTCAGGAGTTAAAGTCTAAGTTGATCTCTTCACCGATCCTTCCTTTCTTTTCCCACTCAGCTTGGAGTGGGAATTCTAGATACTGATGCGATCATTCTAGATACTGATGCTTCGAATCATGGAATCGGAGCAGTTTTATCTCAGATTCAGGACGGCTCGGAGAAGGTGATTGCGTATTATAGCCGAGTCCTTAGTAAAACTGACAAGAATTATTGTGTGACTCATCGAGAACTTTTGGCTATAGTGGAATCACTCTAATCTTTTCATCATTATTTATATGGAAGGAAGTTCCTGATTCGTACAGATCACATTTCTCTTCGCTGGTTAATGTCTTTTAAAGATCTGGAGGGTCAGTTAGCCCGGTGGCTAGAAAGATTACAACAATTTGAATTTGAGATAATCCATCGGAAGGGGCGGCTGCATCAAAATGCTGATGGTTTGTCGAGACGATCTTGTCGAAAAGAGCTGTGCTTACTGTGCTAAAGCTGAGTCTAAAGAAAATTCAGTGGCCCGTATAGTCTTGGAGGAGGAAAACTTGGAGGATTGGCGTAGAAAACAATTAGAAGACCCTGTAATTTCATTATTTCTTCGAGCTAAGGAATCAGGAAGAAGTCCCCTTCACGAGGAAATTTCTTTGCAGGATGTTTCGGCAAAAATTTACTGGTCGTATTGGGATTCCTTAATTTTAGAAAATGGTGTTCTTTTCAAGAGATGGGAGTCTCGGAATTTGAAATCTTTCGTTTTTCAAATTATTGTTCCCAGGAGTTGCATCAGTCGAATACTAGAACTTGCCCACGATTCTGCTACAGGCGGACATTTTGGAGTGAACAAAACATTAGATAAGATTCGGAAACGTTTCTATTGGGCTACGTGCAAACATGACGTGGAGGACTGGTGCCGTTCTTGTGAAATTTGTGTAGCAAAAAAGGGTCCTTCGGAGAAGGGAAAATCACCAATGCAAGTATATAATGTAGGGGCTCCGTTTGAAAGGGTCCAAATGGATATTCTCGGTCCTCTTCCTACTACTTCAAACGGAAATCGATACTTGTTGGTTACGGTCGATTGTTTCACGAAATGGATTGAGGCTCTTCTATTAAAGAATATTAAAGCCAATACGGTAGCGGAGGCTTTTGTGAGTCAGATAGGTTCCCGTCATGGAGTTCCTTCGGAGATACATACCGATCAGGGTAAAAATTTTGAATCAAAGATTTTTCAGGAGGTGACACCCAGTTAGGGATTAGGAAAACTAGGACTACTGCTTTACATCCACAGTCTAATGGACAAGTTGAACGTCATCATCAGACGATTTTAAATTATTTAGCTAAATTTGTTGCAGAGAATCAAAAAGATTGGGATAGTTGGATTCCTATGTTTTTATTGGCTCATCGATCTTCAAAACATGAGGCCACGGGTGTTTCCCCTGCGGAAATGTATTTCGCCCGTGACTTAACTTTACCTTTGGATCTACTGCGAGGAAATCCTCCCCAGGAAGATAGGAGGATTTCGATTGGAAGTTATATTCGGAGTTTAAAGGAAAAAATGCAGCATATTCACGAATATGCTAGACAACGCATAAATTTACAATCTTTGCGGTCCAACGTTCATTATGATCGAAAAGCTAGACAAATTCTCTTCGAAGTAGGTCAGGATGTTTGGTTCTTTAATCCTCGAAGATCGTTCGGAAGAGCTCCTAAATTACAAAGTAACTGGGAGGGTCCTTATAGAATAGTGAGGAAACTCAATGATGTAGTTTTTGCAATTCGAAATCCTATAGACATAGACAAAAAGTAGTTCATGTTGATAGATTAGCTCCTTTCTATCATAGGCAGGTTTTTAATTGAGGAAATTTCGGAGCCCGAACTTTTGTAAATAATTACCACTGTTAATTTGATTTTATTAATTACAAATACTGCTGCCTTCTTTTTTTTTTCTTTTAAAGGCAAGATAATATCTAAGGATTTGACAACCTCTGAAAAAGAAAAGGATTTGACAACCTCTGGGAAAGAGAAAGAAAAAAGAAAATTTTCTTGAAGTTCTGCCTCGCCCACGGTTTTTGAGCCGGTTTTCCCGTGGGCCGTAGGGCGAATGCCGAGGCTGGGACTTGAGGAGTCCTTCGTGGATGTTGGGTCCACGGTAGTTACCTCCCTCTCGTCCGAAGACCCCGCATCGGGTTATGTTCCTGAGCTTCAATGGAACCCAAGAGAATGCATTGTCCGGTAACCTGTGGCAGCCGCGCAGGATAGGACAAGAAGATGCAGCGGGAATTCCATTCGTCAGCTCTGGGAAGTCGATTGAGAAAAAGGAAATGTGTCGTCCGGTAATCTGCAGCAGCAGCTCAGAGTAGGACAAGAGGACACATCGGAGCTCGACAATTCGTGAAAATTTTGAAAAGTCCTGCTGCCTTTAATTGTCGGGACGACAATTTAATAAGGAGGGGGCAAGTGTTATGGCCCTGATGTCCGTGTTCATCGGGATGGCGCCGATTAACGAGAAGAAGCGCGTTGTCAAGAGGTTGTTGACAGCAGCGTCTGTCAATTGAGTTCGGTTCCAGCTGTCAAGCTGCGCGGACGCGTTTGTGTATCGAGCCGAGCCGAATTGCTTATTGTGAATTACGTTCTGTGTTACCGTTTGTAGTGTTCTGTGTTGTGGTGTTGTGCATTAAAGAGTTCCGAGTTCCTTTTAAAAATGTCTATTCATTTCGCGCGACTCGCGAGCAGCCGATCTCTCCGCGCGCGTCTTCAATATTAATCGAAGTCCTCGCCGCGGGCGTAACAATACATATATGAAAAATGCTTGTGTGTTGATATGTGCATAAATTCGTGTGTTAAAGCATACCTGACGCCGATTGTACATGTGATATGTAATGATTATATGTAACATAAGCTACGTTTATATGTTTAAAAAAGATTACTTTCTAATACTTTTATTTTTTTACAATACGATATTATATATAATCTGTTCTTTATTGCTGAACTGGTTGCACTAGTGTGCATTAGCTTAGAGTTTATCTTTCTCCTATCAATGTGGAGGGAAAAAGATAAACTCTGAACTAGTACACACTAGTGCAGCCAGTTCAGCAATAAAGAACAGACCGTATAATTATAAGCAATACTAAATTTATTTTGCGATAATACATGTGATATGTATAAGCTACGTTTATTTTAATAAGTACATGTGATATGTAATTATAATACATGTTATATGTAACACAAGCTACGTTTATTTTAATACATGTTATATGTAAATAACATAAGCTACGTTTATATATTTAAAAAGGATTATAATATAGTAATAAAGTATATATATTATAAATTAATATATAATTTATTTGAAATATATAATATGATATACATATAATAATTATAAGCAATACTACTTTATAAGCAATAATTCCTTTTCTACATTTTACTTTTACTCTCAATTCTAATTGTATTTAATTAATCTTGATAAAATTCTTTTCTTGCAATCATTATACAGCGTGTGTCAAAAGTTCCGGGACGGCTGGATAATTTGAAAAATACGCATCACAGAGGAAAATGACCTAGACAAAAGTTGTAGGATTTTTCCCGGGCAATCCGACGGTGATCTTAGATTTGACCTTGCCCATGACCTTCAAGGTCATTTCAAGGTCAAGTCCGTTTTTTCAAATGGGACCCCATACTTTTGACGCCGGAAATGAAAAGAGCAGAAAATTTTATGATCGAATATGTCCTTGATCAACTAATGGATATGACCTTGAAGGACATCCCAAGGTCTAATACAATTGGTGCATTGAACCTTGAGAAATATGCATCCCAGAGAAAGATGACCTGAAACAAAGTTGTAGGAATTTTTCCCTGACAATCCGATGGTGACCTTAGATTTGACCTTGCCCATGACCTTGAAGGTCATTTCAAGGTCAAGTCCGTTTTTTCAAATGGGACCCCATACTTTTCTGACGTTCAACGCTTCTGACTAGTTTCGATTGGTTATGGTCATATGTAACCAAACTAACTACTTTTACCGCTTTTGACCACATGTGACCACCTGTGACCATTTATGACAGATAGTGACCAACTAGTAATGACCGTATCCAACGTAATCAGTTTTGTTCACTTTTGACCATTCATGGCTGACAGTAATCAAAGTTAAATAACATTGTTCCCTGATGTCCAATAGTGTAAGTCATTAAACCACGTTACTGAAGTCTGATGTACATCTAATTGTAGACATTGATTTATGAGGTATATTATTTGATTTTTTGGCGACCCTTTTCACGTAGTTGCTTGTCGGCAGGAACAATCATATTTCAGCGTTGGCCTCTTATTCAACTGTCGTTCTTAAAGTATTTTATTCTGAAACCTTGCATTTAGTGCAGTGATAGTTGTTCGATCGTCTCTTCGGAAATTTGAGAAAATTTATTTTTGCCGTTTAACTGCTTATTCAACATCTCTTTTTCAATAAGTAGCAAGCTGTTAGGTACACCGTTAGCAGTGTTCATTTCTTTGTTGATTCTTCTCATTAGCTAAAGTGCATTAACTTTTATTGTCAACTTGGACTCCAATATTCTTTCTTAGGTTAGTTAGCGGGACATTACATCAGCTGCAGTGATTGTTTCTTCAACAGTCCTTTTGGAGATAGTTGAAGAACATTCACTTATGACTACGTTTTGAGCAATTCTCCTTGATAGTAACTGTCATTCATAATCCATCGTCTGCACGATTTACTTATAAATCATAATGCAGCGACTCTCTGAGAGAGAAAGGATATCATTTTTAATGATGTGAGGTTGGGGTAGGGTTAGACGATCTTTTATGCAGGTAAAAGATCTTTTTAATGAAACTTTCAGAAATGGATTGACCCCGATATCAAAATCAACTGTCGAACGTACAGTAAGACGTTTTGAGAATACTGGCAGCGTTAAAGATTGACCACGAACAGGAAGACTAATTACAGCCACAACCAAGAGAAATCATTGGACGTTTTACAATCAATCGTGGAAGACCCTCATTATACTCTTCGCAAAGCTGCTCAAGAGCATGGCGTAAGTATGAAATCGGTTCATAGAATATTAAAGAAAAATAAATTCCATCCATTCAAAGTTACGCTTGTACATGAATTAAACGAAGACGATTTCGATCGTCGAGTTGAGTTTTGTGAGAATATGATGGCACGGATCGATAACAATCGAACTTTCATTTTAACATAGTTTTCTCGGATGAATCAACATTTCAGCTCGACGGTACTTTGAATAGGCATAACTGCAGATATTGGGATAATGAAAATCCTCATTGGAAGCGAGAAAATAACACGCAATATCCCGAGAAGCTAAATGTTTGGGCTGGAATATTAAACGATCAAATAATTGGTCCATTTCTTATTGAAGGAAATTTAAATTCCGAACAATATGAGGATATGCTTCGCAATGAAATAGTCCCTAGAATAATGGAGATAACTGGCCAAAACTTTGAGCACACTTACTTTCAACAAGATGGTGCTCCACCACACTATGGAAGAAATGTGCGCAATTATTTAGACGTCGTTTTTAATGATAGGTGGATAGGGCGTAGAGGATACATTGAGTGGCCAGCTAGGTCACCCGATTTAAGTCCACTTGATTATTTTCTGTGGGGTTATCTCAAAGATAGGATGTACAAAAATAAGCCTCAAAATTTACAAGAATTACGACAACGTATACTAGACGAATGTGCTATTATCCTAGCTGAGTATTTTGCGAATGCAATCCGTAGTTTTTATAATCGATTGGGTTACTGTCAAGAGGTTAACGGAGAACAGTTTGAACACTTATTAAAATAATTTTGACTGGCTGCACCATAAAAACCTGTCCTTAAGCAATAAGATACTACCAATACTTCCCTTAACTGGCTGAACAGTAATGAGTCTTGCCTCAACTGGCTGGAAAGTAATAAGTCTTGCCTTAGCTGGCTGGATGATCAAAAGTCTTGCCTTACCTGGCTGGATAGTAACGAGTATTGCCTTAACTGGCTGGAAGATAATAAGTCTTGCTTTAACTAGCTGGAAAGTAATAAGTCTTGCCTTAACTGGCTGGACAGTAACGAGTCTTGCCTTAACTGGCTGGAAAGTTATAAGTCTTGCCCTAACTGGCGTCAAAAGTATGGGGTCCCATTTGAAAAAACGGACTTGACCTTGAAATGACCTACAAGGTCATGGGCAAGGTCAAATCTAAGGTCACCATCGGATTGTCAGGGAAAAATTCCTACAACTTTGTTTCAGGTCATCTTTCTCTGGGATGCATATTTCTCAAGGTTCAATGCACCAATTGTATTAGACCCTGGGATATCCTTCAAGGTCATATCCATTAGTTGATCAAGGACATATTCGATCGTAAAATTTTCTGCTCTTTTCATTTCCGGCGTCAAAAGTATGGGGTCCCATTTGAAAAAACGGACTTAACCTTGAAATGACCTTGAAGGTCATGAGCAAGGTCAAATCTAAGATCACCGTCGGATTGCCCGGGAAAAATCCTACAACTTTTGTCTAGGTCATTTTCCTCTGTGATGCGTATTTTTCAAATTATCCAGCCGTCCCGGAACTTTTGACACACGCTGTATATCCAATGATAGTGTCCTAAAAGAAAATAGAAGACAGAATTATGTTAAATAAATTATCTTTAAAGAGTGTATTAATGCTGACAACTGCTTTTTCATTACTTTCAATACTTATGTGTGTGTATATATATTATTATTATATTACTATATACTAACATCACTGATATACTTTCTCGCTGCATCTGGATCAATTGCAATAATTATTGTTGAAATCAAACGATAACCTTTTTATTATGTCCTGATCAAAATAAAATAAAAGAAGACAGAATTATTAAATTTGTTAGACTATTTTTAAAGAATATATTAATATTAACAATTACTTACTTGTATATACTAGCATCGCTGACATAATGTTTTGCCATTGTATTTTTTGGATTTTCATCAAACACAGCCTCTTTATTGTTCTGAAAGATCAAGACAAATAGAAGATAAATATATTTCTTACACTATTTTTAAAAGAGTATATTTATGTTGACAATTACTTACTTTTGTATATACTAGTATCGCTGACATAATGTTTTGGTATTGTATGTCTAGATTCAACATCAACTTTTCCAACTTAAAACAAGCTGGATATATAAATTCGATTCTCCTTTCTCTTGTATAATTATATTTGCTGTTATATGTCTAGATCCAACATCAACTTTTCCAACTTAAAACAAGCTGGATATATATAAATTCGATTCTCTTTTCTCTTGTATAATTATACAGGGTGTTCTAGATACACCCCTTTTCTTTCAAAAATTAAGCATTTTAGAGAAAAACGTTTTTGACAAAAATTGTATGATTTTGAGGGGAACATAAGATGGTTTCATTGGTTTGACCTTGGATGGCATTGTTAAGGTCAGGTCAAGGATACCTTTAATTTCTTGAATGGAACCACCTATTTTTTATTGCATATTCTTATAGCTTATGTCGAGAACTTTTCAAAACACTATAATAAAGTATTTTTTCATTGAGTACAATTTTTTTCAATGAAAAAATACTTTATTATAGTGTTTTGGAAAGCTCTCGACATAAGTTATAAGAATATGCAATAAAAAATAGGTGATTCCATTTAAGAAATTAAAGGTGTCCTTGACCTGACCTTAACGATGCCATCCAAGGTCAAACCAATGAAACCATCTTATGTTCCTCTCAAAACCATACAATTTTTGTCAAAAACGTTTTTCTCTAAAATGCTTAGTTTTTGAAAGAAAAGGAGGGTGTACGGGTGGTCTAGGACACCTTGTATATATAGTAGTCTTAACATCACGAAGCGCCGCTAGCGCAATCTTACGTCGAATGCGTCAAACGTACAACTTTGTACGCTTGCGCATTGAGGACTTGAGCTTTGACCAAGGAGACGTTTCTTAATGAAAATTTTTCATCTTCAATTTTTCAATTTCGACTTTGGATCATAATATTGCTGTTCACGATGCACAGTAAGCAAAAATAGAGCAAAAATAAAGACACTTTTCTTATATAAATCAAGCTCAAACTATTAATTAAGCCTAGTAAGAACTCGATCCGTTCAGCGATTATTTCAATATGATAATCTCGAATATCTCCAACTATCCGACTCGCGTAATAATACACGGAGTGTCTTGTTGCTTACGCGGGACTTAGCACAAGACACTACGTGTCTTGATATAAATAATTAACTTTAGTATAATTTCTTACAAGTAATGAAAATAAATTGTACAAAGTACATTTCTTGTATACAATTCAATTTTGATTTCTTCTAGGAAATTATTGATAAACTTTTAATTTCCAATATGCATTGTCATAACTATAATATAGAAACTGTTATCTTCTGACACAATTTATATGCGAACACAAAAAGTGCACGCACCCAACTTATCCTCATATATAGTTGACAGAAAAACACATATTCTTTTATATATATATGTATACATATATATATTGTGACGTGACACTTGACGGTCCGTCACAAGGATTGCGAGATCTAACCGGTATTATTTTTTGGCCCTCGTTCTCCCTTGATTTAGAGAGAGAGAGCGAATATTGGAGGCGAGGGTAGACTCGCCTCCCCCATATTTAGCGTTAATTATTAGAGTAGAATTAAGCGGACGTGAAGGAGGACGCTAACGAGATCTCATCCGATGACTCGACCTGGCGCAGAAAACCAGGATAGAAGACGTGCGGGACGAGCGGAGGCGCCGAATAGGAGGAAAATGCCGAGCTAAGTACCTCTCTATACTTTGGTCAATTGGAAAAACCTATTGAAACATCGCTGCGGCTCCTGTACATTCCCTTATGCTCAGCAGGTACGAGGAATAACCACGGGGAAAGCCGGCCGACAATTAGAAGCGAACATCGGAACCCCGAAACAGAGCCGGCTCGGTCGAATTAAGCGCTACAGAACACCTATAAGTTAATGGCGAACGGCTACCAGGAAAAATCCTCACTACCACAAATCCACCCGGCTGAGAATAGAGAGTCGAGAAAACGGGACGAAGCAACAGGGAGACGACAGGCGCAAATACGGCCCTGAAGGCCGCAGGAGTAATTAGAATCCGCGCCGATCCTGAGGGTTGCGGAAGCGTCACAGGTGGTCTAGATAAGAATTAATTCGCTGGCAAGATTCCGACGACGGGCCTTCCGCTCGTCACTGTTTGGCGGACCAGAGTAACAGTACGACGGCCCAAAATTATCGCTTTTCCGTTTGGATGCCAAGAGAGCCAAGGACTTCAAGGAGTCATCGGTGAGACGAGCGTCGACCTTCTCAGGCCGTTTTATCATTAGAGAATCAGGTAGAGTTAGCCCGAACAGAGTCCAGGCCGAATTGCTGCCGTTAAAATTTCGTTATTCGAGATTAATCAGAGTTTCAATAATTGCGTAATAGAGTACGACGGCCGATATACTTTGTTCGAGCTACGATAATATTAAGTACCCTCTCTCCCGGTTAAGCATCGACAGTCAAATTTATTGTTTTTTCTTTTGCGATTATTGTTGCTTGTAAAATTTTGTATAAAGTAACTTGTGATATGTGACGAACTCACACACAAAGGCGATCGCGATATTTGATAGCCGGCTATTGCGTCGCGGCATCGACTCGCGTATCCCTGCGACGTGAATCGTTCGATCTTTATTGTAATTTATTGTTTACGCTTTTGAGATTATATTACCGTTAATTGTTCGCGCTTATGTTCGTTTATCTTGTGTATTTGCCTAGTCGCTCTGTTCTACCGTTATTACCGTAATTCTGTATTCGTTTGATCGCCTCACGTGAATAATCGATTCTATTAATATCACGTTTGACGAATTTAACTACCGTCATTATTTAATACTTTTGGTTTATAACAGACGGGTGTCATTATTAGAAGCATCAACGCGGTATTTATTATTAATAATTCAAGCGGAATTTGTAGCTGCCGAGATCCTGTGACGTCTTGTTCAACGCAACATTCCAAAACTTTCTTACGCTGTTTTTTTTTTCTATTGTGCGACACGTGATACCGCGGTGATCGCGCTCGAATGCCCGTCGCTGCCGGTCCGTCGCTGCCGGAAAAATTCGCCATAATCGATTGTAAATCATCTTGCAATATCCGCGTGAATCTGCCTTGTTAAACTTTATCTATTTGTTAAATATATTCATTCTTGTTTTCTAATATTTTATCTTGTTTGCAGCTACCTTGTATTCTCGATCCTTCCTTGTTAATTATTAGAAAATGGACCGTCCCCTCTGCCATTTTCGAGACGGGGCTAGCCGAGCGTCCGTCGCGATTAATTGAGTAGCATTTTCTGTGTTTATTATAACGAGATATCGAAGTACTTTTTTAAAGTGGTGCGGATTACCGCACCTGGCGCCCAGAAACTTTTGGAGAATAAAATTGAGCAAAAATCGCGCCGAAGATGTGCCGTGGCCACTAACACCGGCCAGATCTCAATATCAGCTCTAATTAATAAAATCAATGGTCACAATATATATATATATATATATATATATATATATATATATATATATATATATACAGGGTGTCAATTAAGTCCCGGGACGGCTGAATATTTTCTCATGTAAGGTATTTTTGAAAAAGGTCAAGGTCATTTCTGAAGTAATTTTCAACGAGGAATTCAACGGTGACCTTCAATTTGACCTTGAGCTTGACCTTCAAGGTTATTTGAAGGTCAAAGTGTTTTTTTTAAATAGGAACCCCTATTTTTGATTGTATATTCTTATAGCTGACCTCGAGAGCTTTCCAAAACACTATAATAAAATATTTTTCCCTCAAGCATTTATCGAGTTATGATGCTTCAAATCATTTCTTAATTTTACATAAACCGTAAAATATCTTGTAAAATATTCACTTTTCGATTATTTTACCTTAATACTTTTATGTACAAAATAATGAGAGGAATCAATTGGCGTAAAGAAAACATATAGTTGTTTTTAAGAAAAAATATGTAATTTGCAATTAACAATTCCATATTTTTTCTTAAAAA